TAATCCGAAATGCGTTTTTGTGCCATGCTTCCCGTTTCTGTCATTAGACTATGTAAATTTAATTGTAATACCTCTTTACTCTGCGACCACTAGCTTTTTTGACATTGCCAACTTGTGTAGATTAGGCCTCAAAATAATGAAATTAAAATCCAAATACACGTAACAGTAAAATAAAAAAAGTCAAAATCATTTCCCAATATATTCATTAGAAAATTATAAATTTGTGCAAAGTATTTTAACACTAGAAGTCCCAAAGATACAAGAATTTTCGTCAGCCTCCAGTCACCCCAACAGTGCTTCACAACTCATAAATCCCTTTTCAGATGTAAATCTGAACCATCCACCCCATTCAGTTTCGGCTGTAGCTCAAGTCTTGCTCTTTGAAAGTGTTTTACCTGAGAGCAGGGGGGCAAAAATCATATTTGTAATTAAATATAACTAGGTCATCAGTGTCGCCAACAACGCAATGATTTTAGCGCAGCCACCAGGGCAGCGATCAAACGACAACTGATCTGTACAATAGAAATAGCTGCATGATCTGGAATGCTGAAGAGAGGGAAGCAAGAATATTTATACAATAATGAGCATCTGGCCTATTTTTGGGGGGGGAAATATAACTCAAGCGATCTCTCAGAGACAGTATCATGAGACTGCAGTAAAGTTGGCAATATATTCAAAGATTCGGCTTTTCCGGATTAATAACTCGTCAGAGGATGATTTATTCTACAAAACAGACACCTCTTCGCAACCACAGCAAGGCAGACAGTGAGCTACAACCGTAGTTTCTTCAAAACGAGTCTCCTATCGAGCTGGGAGAATTACATTGGACCCTATGCAGAGCTCTCTCCTACACAAAGGGACCGTCTGCAAGTTGCAACACCATAAAAATAATCAGAGAGAAATATTCACAAAGAGAGGTGGATTAATTCCAAATTCATTTCATGTTTATCTCATCTCATGTCAAGATGAGATAGCCCCCCGTATAACTTATGAGACCCCCTGAAAGCCTCAAAAATTTAAAAGGGGTCTTAAATTGTGTCAAAAAAAATAAATATATATATTTTTTTGTCACTAATGGTCACTAAAATGTTTTTAAGCTCAACATGTCCAGTATTGAAATTCATAACCTTTATTCACAATTATGTTCTGTTTTTTGCCAAATGGAGCCAGCCAATCCTGATGGCATATGCAAATTAGCCATGTGCTTTTCGCAGTTAATAACATGGGCAAAGCGGAACAGACTGCGTGAAGACAGCAGGTCTTCACTCCTGTTTGTGGACATCAACGGACCTCCTCTGGACAAATTCGACCCAGTTCCATTCGTCAGAAACTGGATTAAGTGGATGTGCGTGCATGAAAGAGAGAGACTGACAGAGAGACAGAGAGAGATAGACAGACAGTCTTTGTGTGTGTGTGTTTTCATAGACTCCTGCACTACTATTACTATATTTATTTACTTTTCTTTTGCACTGTTGTTCCTGTTACAAACATAATTGGTAATAATAATAATAATACTTTTTCTGCTGCCATTACCATCTGCCTTTTTGCACTACCATAAGTATTGTTTATTTTATATTATTGTACGTTTTATACTTTATTGTTAAATTGAATGTTTAAATTTTAGTATTAGGAACTGATCTTATCTGTTGTGCCTGTGCACTTTATCGGTTTCACTGCTGGTGAATGAGAAACGTCCTCTCGAGTCCTTGTATGTCTGGTGAATGTGAAGAATTGACTTTAAAGCTGACTTTAACATTGTAATGTTATAGGCCTACTGCATATTGAGAAAATTTGTATCGGTATTAATCCCCCCCCTCACACACACACACACACACACACACACACACACACACACACCCCAAATATTGACAGGTATTTCGCACACCGCTTGGTTCGGAAGAGGAGATCTGGACAATGGCACCATCTAGTGGGTGCACGGTGAAACTGCAAAAGAAGAAAAACAAGCCCCACTTGTTTTTGTTCCCAATCGACATGATAAGGTGAGACAAAATACAGTTATTCGCCATGTTGTTCTTTCTTTCTCATTGTGAGCTTTGCAATATAAATCAGTCTATTGGTGAATGGACAATATAAATAGGCTGTGCCTTGCCTTATTGGAAAAGCATGGTTATGACCTGTTCTCAGCTTAGGAACTAGGACCCGCATGATATCTGGTTGTTCAATAGGTTTGCCTAAATAAAGGATTTAAGCATGACTTATCAAGATATTCCTGCAAAAAGGTCTGATGTTGCAGGGGCAGGAAATGAAAAGTGTTTGGAGCATGCTCTTGTTCTGATCCGTTTGTTTCAGCCTTTATCCAGTCTCATGTAGAAGGGCTGGTCATATCACAGGTTATTTGCATTACAATGAGAACAGTTACTAAGGTACAGTGAATACACAAACTTGAACCAGCTCCCCTCTTCATCAACGGCAAGCAGGTGGAGAGGGTTCACAGCATCAAATACCTCGGCGTCCACATCTCTGACCGCGTCCACATCTCTGACCGCATCACCTGGTCAGAGAACATCACCACCATCATCAAGAAGGCCCGGCAAAGGTTACACTTCCTGAGAATCCTCAGAAGGTATAACCTCAACTCCGATCTGCTGCTGGCCTTCTACCGCTCCTCCATCGAGAGCTTGCTGACCTACTGCATCATAGTATGGTTCGGCAGCTCCACCGCTGCCGATAGGGAGAGGCTGCAGAGGGTGATAAAGGCAGCGCAGAGGATTATCGGTCGCCCTCTCCTCTCCCTGACAGACATTTA